ATACTTCGAGGACTGGCTCGCTCGTGGAAGCAATTGCAGGAAAACCTTGTTCAGCAGCAACGGATGGAGCTGGTCAGCGAACACGCCTGTTGCAGCCAGTAGCTGACGACCGCAAGCGTGAGGTGTAGGGGCTCCAGATACTTTAGTGTGCAGGTTTCGAATTCAAAGATGCAGTCGGAACAGCCTATGCCTGGTTGGCAATTTGAGCTCTGCACTTTTGTGCCACATTTGACGTGGTTCTGTGAGGATCTATGAGGATCTAGGCAGCGCCGCGTAGATCCACTAGTGATGATGTTTTGGGGGGGAGAGGTGCAGGTCTTGTATTCTGGGTGGTATTCACCTGGGATTTTGCATTCGAACATTGCTGTTTTTCACTGAAAAGGCACTAACAGCTATCGCTGTAAAAAGACTAATTTCGTACAGCGGCATTCGCTTTGCCACGCGCAAAGCGAATGCCGCTGTACGAAATTAGTCCTTTTACAGCGTCGGAGCAGTCTCTTAAGCCATGCGCAAAGCGGACTTGCCGCTGGGCTAAGCTTATGTGGAGTACAAGTTTGTCTGCTGCTTGTGCAGAGGTTTGATGTCAGGATGCCGAGCTCTGATTGGCTCCGATTAAAGAATAGTGGGTAGTCCTCAAAGCAAGCTGCCTTGAGGTCTGCCCACTATCCTTCAATCAAGGCTCGGCGTTCTGGCGTCACCCCAGCCCTTGCAAAAGAAGCAGATGAACTTGCTTTCTGCATTTGTTGTCCACTTCATAAATTTGCTTCACAAAGACTAGAAATCATTTTTTATGCGGCATTATTAATGTAAATCATCCCAGTATCACCAGTGCTAAGAGCTGTGCACAATAAAAATCTGAAAACTATGAAATAAAAAAATGATGCACTTTTAGAAAAGAATGGACCTTTTCCAAGAAGCGTTCTGCGCACGCGCGAGCGCCCGATGCCAAGCGGCGGAAGTCGGCACGAAAAATCGAGGAAATTCGGAAGGAGGCTGTGGATCAGCGAGTAGAACAGGTAATTGCAGCATATATATAATTCTGTTACACAAGAAAAAAAGAAATTGGATGGAAAGAAAAACACGACGTTTGGGTGGATGCCACGGATGGGGGCCCCTTTTTGAAGTCGCGTCGGGCACGCGCCACAACTCGGAGAGCGAAGAAGCTGGTAGCGCAGCTCCCATTATCGATTGGTAGCGCAGGTTGGTCACTTCCTCGATTTTTAGTTCGTGCATCCACCGCCTGGTGCTGTCGGTATGCGGAAAAGGTCCATTACGTAGCAAAAATTTTAGAGCCCTTCCACTTCACGTGAAGGAGGACCAATGAAGCTATTACTTTTACGACATCTAGGATGATGCCTAGAGGACGATGTCTAGGATGACCTCAAAGACGACTTCTAGGACGATCCTAGAGGATGACGCCTAGGACGACCTTGAGGACGACGTCTACGAGGACCTCGAGGACGATGCCTAGAGGATGGTCTCTCCGGCAACCTCGAGGACAATGCCTAGAGATGATAACAAGGGCTTAGGACCTATAGTAATGCCAAGGAAGGCTGACTCACGCTGGTTGCCCCTCTTTTTATTTTTATTCATTCATACTTGCCACGACCAATGGGGAGTTTTCTGTCAATCCGCGGACGCATTTTTTTTCCACATCCTAAAGCAAAACAGCTTTGCTGTAAAAAAAAAACAAAAAAAAACTTGCAAATTAGAATTACGATTAGCAGCAAAATGATTTATTGTCCAAATTATTTTTATTAATTTTTATTTGGAGGATTCAGAGGGTATGCACCCAGCGCTACTGGCGCTACCTCTCGGCCAGACGCGACCATTTAATGCTGACGTGACGCGGCGTTTTAGCGTCCGATCATGCACCTTTCACGGGCGTAAACTAGCGTCTATCAGCTTCTCTCGGCGCCTGCTAATGGTTCACGTGCACTTAAGGCTCTGTTATACTCCGACGTAACGCGTGCGCGCGCGCGAGCGCGTCACAGCGACGTCACGTCGGCGAAAACCCGACGCTCTATACTCCGGCGTCGTGGCGTAACCGACGCGACCGGCGGCGTTCGACGCAGCCTGACCGCCTCGACGCCAAAATGGAGCATGCGGTATTCCGCGCCGGACGCGCCGGCGACGCCGGACCAAGATGCATCACGCGCTGGCTCCCGGCAGGCGTCGCGCGGGAAGTGCGGCGAATGCGAGCAATAGCAGACGACAGGAGCACCACTCCGTGTGGCATCATGTTTGAAGAATCGGACTCGGTCGGTCGAGAAGCTCATCGAGGGAACTCGTCCTCACCCGTGTGTCTACGACACGAGGAAGCTTGAGTACCGTAGACCCTACGCTTGTCAAAGATGTACCGTATGTACATTGGCCGCCTACGCTTGCGGCGCAGGTGGTGCACCAACAGTGCAAGCGCGAGTTTTCGTCGAGCAAGGTACGTCCACGCCATCGCTCGAACTTGGCGCTCAAGAAGCGCGAGCATTCTCGTCTGCTATTCGAAACGAAAAGGCACCGGAAGTGGCGCACTCTCGCAGGAAACGTGCCCTCGTAGTCAGATTCTGCGCATGCGCCACGCCGGCGGCCCACCGACGCACAGCCGCGGGAGTCGCCAGGGCCGCCGGAGTATAAAGGCGCATTCACACAGCGGAAAGACGCGCGTCGTGGGGGGGAATTTTTTGCTTATTTTTGTATTGAAAAAAGTCGCGCGCCGAGGAGGACGACGCAGGGAGACGACGCCTCGGAACCCAATTTCTCCCTCGACGCGCGCGCTTGAGCCAATCAGCGAGCTTCCGGACGTGACGTGTTCCCTTTTCCGGTTGGGACTAGTTTTCGCTGTTTTTTTTATTTTCGACTCACAATGAAGGCGAAAAGGCAGAGAGCTCGGGGGATTCGTGCGCTCGCCAAACGTGGCTGGAAGTATTCCAGCGTGGAAAGAAGCAAGCCGATTGGAACATCTGACTGTGAGCAGTGTTTTATGTGCGTGTACGACGCTGTGAAGCTACTCTTCATCGTTTGCGCGAAGCTGCCGCGAAAGCTGCCACCGAAGTTCGCGGTGTGTTCCGACCTCCGACTGTGCGGGAGCGATCACTCCCAATGTGTTGTGTAATTTTGTGTACACCCATCACTACGGAATACAACAGCCCTCCATCGAAAACACTCTCGCACAGGCTGCGTGCAGTGTTAAAGGTACGGACGCGAAGGCTCTGGGACGCGCCGGCGTAGCACCGTGCTTTGTTTGCACAAAAACGCGGCAAAAGAGCACCTGAAGCTGCCCGTTCGAGTCCGTGCCTTTCGCCAATGCTGCAAATAACCGGAGTGTAAACGTATATATAATCATCACCGTTGTCCATTTAGTGAAGACGGTTGTCTCCCACCGCATATGCAATCGCGAAGGCAAGGCAACAACAAACGTGCGAAGCAGACGAATAAACAATTCCGTGTTCTCTCGACAAAAGTGAGATTCCCCGAGACGACGCCGCCGTTTGGGTGAACCTGGCTATGTTCCAAATCTTACCCGAGTAACCTGCCTCCTACGTCAGCGGGTAATACCACGTGACATCGCGAGTAAACGATCCGCGACTCGATTTTGGAACGGCCGGGTTAATTACCTGGATACTATGCGGATTGGCTTTGTCTTGGGCTACGACAAAAAGAAACCACAGCAGCGATGGCAGAAAATAGCAGACGATCTTTTTGATCATCAGGAAAGCACTCGAAGAGACGATAATAATTATGACGACGCGGTGTTTTTTGAGGCGGATTCACCAGCTCCTTTTACTCACCTTCTTTTTGAGCTGTATATTGAAATAAAAATTACCTACTCCTTACAGTTAGACATTAAAAAAGTGTTTTATTAGTCTGCGCGATTGCCCTAAACGCATATATTCCACGCATTGTAATTTGCATTGATCATGTTTTGCAGAAATTGATTCCACACGGTGTAGTGGTGCAGCGCGAGGGTGCTTTCTCAAGAATGATATAAAACTTTGACGCGAATATGATTACGATAAAATCTTTGAAGCCTTCACTGCTTTGCGAGCGTTATCCTCTCACTACACACACTCTAAAGAAAACAAAAAAATACTACCTTATCATTTACTGCGTTCAAATATTTTCAGCCTTGAACGTGAGAATACGACATTCTCTCCAACGCCGAGGACGAGAATGCGGAGAAGCTCCTGTTTACGCTCGCACTCTGATAATAACAAGTATACCTTCCCGGGGAAGGTGCACGGTCTGGATGTAATGCAGTCAATTCGTGCGTTGAAAACAGCAAATCGCAATAACCACACATGCTGCACCTCATTCTTTGTCATTTCGAACGTCAGCCACCAAAACCAACCGAGCAAGCGAGCTTTGACGGCTGTCGGCGCAGAAAGCAGACGACGAACAGATCACGTGACGTATTTACTCGCTTTGATCCGACGTTACCCCCCGATCGAGGAGGGTAGCGTGAGTAATTACTCCGGAGTAAACAACCCGCTTCTGGAACGGGAGTTTTGACGTCATCGAGTGAGCTCGAGTAAGTTTTGGAACGCCACGGTACGAAATCTTTACTCCGGAGTCGGATCGAGTAAATTTTGGAACACAGCCCCTGTGTGACTGCTTCGTATTTTACGACGCCGGCGTCGACGTCGACCGCAACGCGCGTTTTTTGCTCAGTGTGAATGCGCCTTTAAGAGGTCGAATTTTTGACGCGCGCGGCGTGACTGACGTGACGTCGCCGACTTCGGCCACCGTTCTCTTGCGCGCGCGTTACGTCGGAGTATAACAGAGCCTTAACAGAGTCTGAAAGTACGCAACGCTACTCGCAGTGGAAACGCGACCTAAACATATCTGATGGTTCTCGCCAGTGGCGCTGTTCAAAACTTGAGAGATACAGACAAGAGAAGAATGGTAGCGCCACCTGTCGCACGCTCCGCTCCTGGCGTCAGAGCCGTATATGTAGCTCTGCCTGACGTCAGAGCCGTATATGCCTGGCGTGCGTCCCTCCATTCATGACAAGCGACCCGTCTTGATCACAACAAAAACACGTGCGTTGATCGACCCTCCCGCTGCATGTGGTTGTGTGTGGCCTTATTGAGTTCTTTAACTCCGGCGACGCTGCTTTATCCAACGATACGTTCTTCTGCGTCTCATGGTTACACTTGAATAGAACGGTATGCCTCCCAAAGGGAAGTCTTCCAAGGCAGACTGGCAGCAGTGCACGTCATGTGGCGTCATCCTGGCTACGAAAGACGTTACACTTCACGAACACTGTTGCTCAAAGTTGAGCGGTGATGATGATCCAAAGCACGATTTTATAAGAGACTGCGTTCTACACGGCACACTGCAAGCACTACCCGGTGAGGGGCGACTCTTTAGATATACGTGACGAAAGAGAAGTTGTATCTAGTATATGCTTCCGACTTTTGTATTTTGACGGGGCTTGCAGATTTACTTTAACAATCTGCAAGTTTCCTCGCACATTGATTTGTTGGCAGTTACAGTACTATAGTCTGTTACAGGTTGATAAACGCGGGAAAAGCCCTGCCACAAAGCTCTGCTTGCCATGATTGCTGGCTTCATCCTCTCCAGCGTTCTCTCTGCAAAAGTGGAAAGAGTGGAGGGCTTTCTGGGAGGAGCTTGTCATGCTTTTCTTAACCGGCAAGAGGCTGAAATCTATAGGGTGACCCAAGTCACCAGGCTCGATCTAAAATATACTTTAAAAATCGACGCCTGCACGTAGCAATCTGAACTTTTCGTCAAAGGTGTATTTCACAGGTCGGTTTTTCTTTTAAAATTACAAAGCGTAGCTCTTCTGTAAAAAAAAAAAAAAAAAAAAAAAAAAATAGGGCCAAGAAACTTGCCAGGGTCTGCGGCGAGCGGCGACGCAGACAACCAAGTCGAGTAGGGGTGTGTTTGGCGTTTGTATTGATAGATGGCGTCGGGAGCAGCATTGGAAGGTGTAGCCAACATTATTAGATTTGCTCAGTTACGGAACTGCTCATAGACGCTGCTTGTACGAGCAGTACCCCCTCACTCACCATGACTCGCCTCCCATTGCTCGACGCGCCAGGCGGCTGCTATGGTTACAGCAGTGTATTCAATGAAATACATACATTCCGAAGCACAGCGTCTAGATGGATTCAAGGTCTGCTCTATAGACGCTTTGCACACGCGCCAGATTGAGCCGCCATAGCTGACCTTCTCCTGTTTTACCGAGATGCCGAGCCACCGAAGCGGGCGTTTATGAGCCTCCAAAGAGGTCTATGATGGGGAAAAGGACGCAGTAGCACCTAAAGTCGCAATAACCTGTTCTGCTGTGGCAATGATGACGTGAAGCGAACGGAATAAGAGGAAACAAAAACTGAAGGTCGCTTATGGCGGCGCCCATGCACAGCTGCTGCAAAGCGTCTATAGACCACACTGTTATGAAACGAAAATCTAGATGGCGCTTCAAACGACGGGAGGCAGACTGAAGTGAGTGAAGGGGGGTACCCCCTTCTGCAGGAGTTCCACAACTGAGGTAATCTAGTAACGTTGGGTGTGGCCAACCAGCGAAAGAAAGCAGACGACACGCAGACGAAATCTGTTGGCAGCAAAAGTGCCCTCGTTATGCAGATGCGTTTTAGTTTTGCTTTTATTGTCCACATTTATTTTTTAACCAAAGGTACATTTCAAAAAGATTATGTTCATTTTAATAAACCACGGTGGTCGCAAGCTGTGGCGATAAGGAGGTAGCACCATCTATCAGTGCGAATGCCAAACACACCCCACTACTCGACTTGGTCGTCTGCGTCGCCGCCCGTCATAGACCCCGGCAAGTTTCTTGGCCCTATTTTTACAGAAAGAGAGCTACGCTTTGTAATTTTACAAGAAAAAACCGGTCGACCTAGCTGTGAAATACACCTTCGACAAGAAGTTTAGATTGCTACTTGCAAGCGTCAATTTTCACGGTCCATTTTAGATCGAGACTGGTGACTTGGGTCACCCTATTTAATTTTTGAGTTCTTAACTCATTAAAGTCATGATATGTGAATCAATGTTATGCAGGACATGTCTGTTTTTACAACAAAGCGGGGACATTTTTATCCCCTTTTGCTGGAGCAAGACATGTAAAAAGTCTCGAATGGGTTTAAAAGCCTCTCGGGGCGCATTCATTGCTAGGCTCGTTCGATTTACATGCACCTCCTGCACCGGTGCAGAAACGTGTAGGACAGTGTACTTCCAGTCGTATGTCAATGCGGAGAGCAAGTTCGTCTGCTTCTTCTGCAGGGGTTTGGTGGCATCAGAACAGCGAGCTCTGATTGAAGGATAGAGGGTGTTATCTGAAAGCAAGCTGCCTTGAGGTCTACCCACTATACTTCAATCGTAGCCAATCAGAGCTCGGAGTTCCGACGTCACCACTACACCTGCAAAAGAAGCAGACAAACTTTCACTCCGCATACACATACCAGAAGTACACTGCCCTACAGTTTTCTGCACCAGTGCAGGAGGTGCAAGTAAATCGAACGAACCTGCTGTGATATGTGTTTCGTGCGAGCCTTTTCTGATTGGCTGCAGCTGCGAGCGTGCGCTGGCTGGACTGTGATCTAGCACGTGTACGTGAACTGTGATTGCTGAAATGTCGAAAGATTTGCTCCCCCGAGCCAGTCGGAGCGTCGAAGGGAGCCACATGACAACGCACCCTTTGAAGTGCTCTCCTCCTATGGAGGGCTTTTCAACTCTCAACTTTATTGTTTCTGTCCAGTGGAGAAGGGGAAGGAGGAAAATAAAAGCAGGCAATTAACTTGACATGGTTCTTCTCCCTACTAGAATCAGAGAAAAATAGTATACATGGTAATGAATTTTACAACATCAACATACAACCATAAATAAACCGGCTTAGACAAAGCATAATATAAACCAGTGGTTCTCAAATGGGGGTCCGCAAAGGAATTCTTGAGGTCCGCGGAGCCCTGCCTCATCAGTCAAGACTGGCAATAAAAGTCGTCTTTTCTGAAATTGGGAAGAAACATTTCAATTTTCGGGTGAGTTTTTTGTTTTGTGTGTCAGTGAGAGGAGTCTGCTTCACACTAACCCTTAGTTATATCCATTTCTTAAATCCTTCTCATAATCACCCTATACCTTTCCCTTTCCTCACCACGAAGGGGTCCTCCATCATCTCCGCCGGTCCACAAGGGGTCTGCAACACATCAATGATTGAGAACCACTGATATAAACCATAAAAAATATTCCTCTATCTGAAGATGATCCTATTAAAAAAAACAAAGTTAAACACAAGAGAAAGAGAGATATAATACCTTTTCTCTTGAAACTTATAAAATCTATTCCACATCTCATCACACTATTTAATACATCCGGCAGCGAAAACTGCAACATCTAGAAGCCATTGCATGCTCTTGATCGAGGCGTCCGAATGTCAACACAACGGCTGGATTGTGCAGGTACCCTTCGTTTCATATTGGCGATGGATAAAGCAACAAGTTGATTTTGGCTTATAGACATCTGATCCATAAAAGTTTATAATTAAAATGTTCTGTAATTTGCACCATACCAAGATTTTTTTAAAAATGGTAGCATGCGAGTATTAAATTCCATGCTTTCCTTCGTCGCTGATTGGCTCCTGGGGGCCGTACCTTTCACCTTTTGACAAGTTATGCTGAAAAAGTCACACACATTTTATTTCTTTTTCCTTTGTAGCGGACGATACGGCTGGCTTGTCCAATTCGACGAAATCCCAGCTCCTCTACCTAAATCCCTCATGCATGAGGATGTGCGACATCGGCATAAAAGATGTGGTGGAGCTCTGTGAAGACGGAGAAAGGCACTTGCTTGTGGCATGGCCTTCTCGGAATATTGGCCTCACCGGAGTCTCCATCCACAGGCAGCCTAAACCGAGCGTGCCGAGAAAAGTGACTGTGGCAAAGCACTCTGACTGCATCGTTGGAGCAAGCTCCGTAACATTGATGCCGGATGAGAAGTTGCAGCAAGTTTCCGTACTCGAGCTGCAGAGATGCATTCTTCAACAAAATTGTAAGCAGCACCACCGTGTGCTTTTTCGGCTCAACTACTATCTCTATGCAGTCTGCTAGATTGTCACTTGAAAGCAAGCGTTTTTTTTTTTACTTCAAATGTTAGATCAAGTTTTAGCGTAGCAAAAATGTTGACAGCTAATTTAGTATGTTACATAGGAGGAGTCTGGATTAACATTAAAACGATTTAGAACCATTTGTGTTAGCTTTTTTATTTATTATGTCAGTTTGCCATAATAGCTGACCTTTTAGTTTCGTCTTAATGAGTTATTCGCTGAACAAAAAGTTTCGTCTTAACGAGTTATTTGTTGAACGAAACATACCGGCAAATTAGTCTGAATGCCCTCATAACCCTGCTACATGGAGAGATTAAATAACTGGCAGGACGTCTTGTCTGAACTGGATCATTGATGCAGGGAGATCTGAACCCACCCAGTTACGCATAACTATGAGCCAAACACACTGTAGTATGTGGAGTATTGTTTACAAGTTCTATGCGGAGCACAAGTTTGTCTGCTTCATTTGCAGGGGTTGTGGCGACGGCAGAACGCCGAGCTCCTGTTGGCTTTGATTGAAGGATAGTAGGTAGACATCAAGGCAGCTTGCCTTAAGGTCTACATTCTATCCTTCAATCAGGGCCAATCAGAGCTCAGCATTCTGACGTCACCACTACCCCTGCAAAAGAAGCAGATGAACTTGCACTCTGCATAGGCACTGCTACACTGCATCAATGCCAAGACCAGGACACATTCATTGGCACTCAGTCCAGAAAAGGGGGGGGGGGGGGGGGGGGGGGGGGGAGTCCTCGAGATGAAAAGTTCTAAGATGGCCTGGCCTTGTGGTTGTCCTGTGCTTGTCCTCTGTGTTTTATTCTTTCAATTTTATGTATGTAAGATGGCCGACTGCATTTTAATTGGTGGGTGTTACAGGGACGCAAGCAACTGCTTTACCTTTTACACAGTGTTGTTGGCACAGAAGAATGAGACACCAACTGCTTGTGTCTCAATTCTTACCCAGTGGGTGTCTTCGTGAGGACCGGATCGAAACTGCAGTGCCGTGTCTACGGTCACGACCTGCGGTTTACCGTGCTGTCCGCAAAAGGCGAAGGAGGACTTTCGTCGGGTGACCTGCTTCGCTCGTCGTCGGTTGATGGTGATGATCTCGAAGAGAAGCTACAGCACCTCACCGTTAGCGAAGGACACAGTAGCCCCAGTGCTTCAAAAACTCCAAGGCCGTCGTCCGCTCAAGTGAGGCGTCTTGAATCCTAGCATATTTTAGGGCTCAGGTGGGTTTTAATGCTGCATATTACGAAGCACATGGGGGAAGCATTGTTTTGTCCGGTGGCGACCTTCTTTGGCCAACCAGCCGTGTTGACGGTAAAGACACGTTGCAGCTAGTTCTGTCTGTCGCACCAAATGTAAGGAGGCACTCTTTTAAACATTACAAAATCAGTCGTGATCGTATGTGATGTCCATGTTATTTTTGTGCTCGAGATATGAATAGACCATTTTAAAAAATGTGGGCTATCTGTACTCCGTTCAACTCTGAGCTGAGACTGCGGTGGAAGCTACGTCCTCGTTGGACCAGTCGTACGTCTCTCTTTCGCCACGTCGTCACTCTCCCGCCCATACCCGCACGCAGAGAGCCAGGTCAGGTGACGAAAAGGAGGCGGCTGATTGGTCCGCCAGGCAAGTAGCTCACACTGCAGTCTCAGCTTAATAGTGAATAAGGTAGCTGCTGCAGCCGTTATCCGAGTTTGCCATAGTTTGGGCATAGTTTGGGACACGAGAGCTGCAACAGCATACGGCGTGAACTCGGCTCAGCTTGTATCAGAAACGATTGCTGCATTAGCGTTCGATGAGTACTTGGTTCCAATCACACGCTCTGTGCCCGGATGGATGGATGAATGAATGGATGGATGACTGGCTGTACCCTTTGGAACGGGCATTAGCTTTTGCCACCTAGCCTAAGCAAACGTATGATTCCTCTCATGCCCGAGAAACAGCGAGCACCAATGTTGCTTGATGGGGTTTTGAAAAGGGCCCATTTGGTTTATTTAATTTATTTCCCAGGTTCATTCAACACCGCCACAGAGGATGCCACTAACCCCGAGCAGGCAAGGCCCGGCTGCATTCAATACTCCAAAGGCACCTGAAGGGAGGGCGGGGTCTCGCATTTCGTTGGCGGTTTTTCACCGCATCACGATCGGCACGGAAGTCACCGTCATGGAGGAGGGCAGCGTGGGGCCGGAGGTGTCCCATAGGGCGGGGTACGACCAGATCGGAGGGCTGGACAGGGAGATCCAGCAGCTGCGAGAGCTGGTCGAGGTGCCTGCCAGGCACCCTGCCACCTTCTCACGTTTCGGTGAGTTTGCTTATGTTTGAATTTTGGCAGCAATGCGGTGCCGTGTAACGTGGACGTTCCCCCAGAAGCTGCCAGTTTTAGAGAACAAATATATAGCTATAGTTTGTTTCTCTTTATGTGTGAACGAAGCCCAAGCTACAGCAGAAGAAGGAAAGGTCACTTGTGTAATATATGCTAGTGTAAACCCTTTTTGTGAAAGTATCCGATTTAGCGTGTCAACAGTCTGCATCTGTCGTAACGTGCAATTCGATTCTCAAGCCTATGGATGCATGGATGGATGCTAACGATTGTGCTTTTTATGATGGGCGGTAGCTTGTGCTACCTAGCCTAGAAAACAAAAGTATGATTTTTCCTTCCCGTCAATTTCTTTCTCTCTGTCTTGTCTTTTTTTAACTCAGTCATGATGTACCAGTGTTGCTAGCACACTGTTTTTCTTAACAGGCCTGAAGCCTCCCAGGGGAGCACTACTGTTTGGGCCGCCTGGCACGGGAAAGACCTTGCTTGCACGGGCGGTTGCAGCCGAATCGGGAGCAAGTCTTGTGGTGCTTGATGGGCCGCAGGTCTTCAGCAAGTAAGAATACACTGCAAATTTTTCCCTTCACTTTGTGTCTTGTTGTACAAGACCCCCTTCTTAATAGCATGTCTGCTAACATTGACTATTGTCAAAATTGCCTCAAAGGTGGCAGCACTAAGGGGGCTGATCTAAATTCCCTTGATGTGTCTGTGCTTGTCTTACAAGTAGCGACAAATGCGCCACTGCAGAATGTATGTGCCTTGTGCAGCCCTTTGATCCAAATGATGGCACAGAACCGAGGTGAGCGGCCCTTGGAAGCAAATGGCGGCAGAACGCTCACTCGTGGCATGCGACTTTTGTGTTCACACAGTGATGGTTGTTGGTACTTGTAAGAAATGTGAAGCGAGAGTTTGATTGAGGGGTTTTAAACAGATCAACATTGCCCTTTAAAACAAGAGTTCCTTTTTATTTTCCTTTTAGTTTGGGGTAGAAACACACCAGTTGGGGAGATTACAAACCTTCTTCAGTGAAAGGTGCCAAGCTTCCTCAGTTTTCACTGCACAAGTTTGGCAGCTTGTGCAGTGAAAGCTCACACTACACTGTAGATTTTAATATCAGGAGCTAACTTCCGGGACGTTGTAGCAATACAAGTTTGAGCAATCACGAATACACAGTGCACGTTACTGACCTGTGCTCTGCTGACTAATAGACTCTCTACGGTAGTGACATAAGATGACATTTCCAACTACACTGCCTTTCTGCTGCCGAAACACTGACACAGCAAGCTTGCATTTTTGCAAGTGGGTGATGACAGCCTAAAGGGGCCCTGCAAGCACTTTTTTACTAATTTTTAATTTGCACCAAACCTGAGCGCACTGACCGTAGTAACTTAATGTAACTTTTCTTTTCTCGAATTTCGCTTTATTTTAAAAGTTATAGGCAAATTAAAATTACAAAAACAAGCAAAAAATATCCTCCCTCATGACGTCCTTGGTTGCTTGAGTGACCGTGAACTAGAGGAGGGATAGTGAGTTCAACGAGCGCTCACAGCTGCCGCGCTGCCGTGTCGACGGCGCGAGAGGGCGCCACTAAAGCGTGTTCTGGATAGGCTGTATGCAGCGGGCAGCCAGAGCGGCTCTCATTGCGTTTGCTGCGCGATTAAACACTAATTCGGCATGACACTTCATTGGCCTTAAACGACAGCAAACAGGGGGTAAAGATAAGTTCAGGATGGGAGTCCCTTCGCACTGCCGTACCGCGAAATAGCCAAAATGCAAGACAAAGCTACTCGCGGAAGGCCTTCGGAACGCTCGGAGCCGGTCGGATCCTCCAGTCCGTAAACGACTGCAGCGCCGCCGCGTCCATCCGGGACCTTTCCGTGTCGGCGCCTGATCCCACTACTCTTTTCTAGTATGCGCCGCCTTATCCACCGCTTGGTGGCGGGTATGTTGACGGGTCATTTCTTGTTTCCGTACTTTATAAACTGCATTTGTTTCTTTTCTGATCTAAAATACTGAACAAAAACTACTTTTATAAATAATTGAAACGGTTCGCGCCACTTATGTTTTGTATTTCGACTAAAAAGAAGCTTTTAGCCGCTCTGACCAGTAGTAAGCCCAGGACCAAAGACGTCACATTTCGCGCGTTTTCGGTACCGCGGGTCGCCCCCGTCGGTGGAGGAGGTTTTCGTGTCGTCCGGTTAAAATATGACGCACTGATATTTAGTTACTCTCTCCGTGCCCGCTGGCTTGCCTGAACCCCAAGAGACGTGGAAACCGCAAAAAAAGGTAGACGCTTAAATATGATTGCAGGGCCCCTTTAAGCATAATGCGTGGCGAAGTTTGTGACATCTCGCACGGCATTTTTCGGCACAGGTACTATGGGGAAACGGAAGCTGCTCTGAGAAACGTCTTCAAGGACGCAGTCGAGAGGTAAGCTACTCCTCTCTGGGTTGCACTCGGGCCAGAAGTTACACCAGGGCCAGAAGTTGCACTAAGGCCAGAAGTTGCACTAAAGCCAGAAGTTGCTCTTAGGCTAAAAGTTACATTTGGACTAAAAGTTGTACTCGGATCAGAAGTTGCACTAGGGCTAGAAGTTACACTTGGGCTAAATAAATGTTGCACTAGGGCCACAAGTTGCGAGCAGTAGATGCAGACATGTGAGCATTGCACTGTTGTTCTGTCAGGGCACCAAGCGTCCTCTTTGTGGACGAGATCGACGCCCTGTGTCCCAAGCGTGAAGCCGGCACATCCAGCCAGGAAGCTAGGGCGGTGTCGACCTTGGTGGCATTGCTGGACAATTTGCCGGTGAGCACCACCCATTTTTCTTTATGGAGATAACCTCAAGTCTCTTTGAGCCGTATTTGCAGAAATGCATATGATGGATTCTGGTGTTGCTTTCTTCTATTACAGCAACGTGCGCTATTGGTGAGGTTTTGCAGCATACCCTGAGGTGTATTTGCGTGTCAGGAGCTAACGTGGCCCCTAATCCAGCGCAAAATTTTGTCCACAAAATTAGCAGAGAATTGCAGTAATGACGTTGCGCAGTGACATCGCAGTGTCATTTCCGCCTCCTCCCTTCCCTTTGTTTTGCTAAGTTTAGTGGGTCAGAAGTCTTCTATGTTGAAACACGATAGGGTTTACCGTGTGCAGCAAAGTGTGTGGCGCCTCAACTATCGCCGCAGTTCATTTCACAGGACGCTGCAAAGGAACCACCATTACCTACTTTTTCGAGCTACACGTATTCATCTAAAGTGTCTGGTTTTGTTTTCCCTAAACCAGTCAATGCAAGAGAAGTGGGTGCTAGTTCTGGGCGCCACTAACCGACCCAACAACGTGGATCCGTCGCTGCGCCAGCCTGGCCGCCTCGACAGGGAACTCGAGATTGGAGTGCCCACGGCGTCGGGACGACTTCAGGTGAGCTGGGTGCAAGAGTAGGCCACGTTAATAAGTGGTGGGCATGGTACGCTTTGCGGCAGCATGTCTAACCCGCTCGTCTTCGCCTGTTTACAGGTCCTGCTTTTTGGCGCGGGGAAAAGCCACGAGCCTTCGGTGATTCCTTCGCCGATCATTTTTTCCGCGTCCGACACGGGCATAGTGTCTTTTGCCCCGTCATCGTCATGCTACATCCGCCACGGCGAGACATCGATCGCCGATGACACGTCTTTCGACCACGTTACAAGGCTGCACCAATCATCTTCAAGAACTGCCACGCCCCTGGGTGTCTTAAAAGACTGGAACGGACTTCACTGTGCTAGTGGTGGGCACGTTACGCTTTGCAGCAGCATGTCTAACCCGCTCGTCTTCGCCTGTTTACAGGTCCTGCTTTTTGGCGCGGGGAAAAGCCACGAGCCTTCGGTGATTCCTTCGCCGATCATTTTTTCCGCGTCCGACACGGGCATAGTGTCTTTTGCCCCGTCATCGTCATGCTACATCCGCCACGGCGAGACATCGATCGCCGATGACACGTCTTTCGACCACGTTACAAGGCTGCACCAATCATCTTCAAGAACTGCCACGCCCCTGGGTGTCTTAAAAGACTGGAACGGACTTCACTGTGCTAGTGGTGGGCACGGTACGCTTTGCGGCAGCATGTCTAACCCGCTCGTCTTCGCCTGTTTACAGGTCCTGCTTTTTGGCGCGGGGAAAAGCCACGAGCCTTCGGTGATTCCTTTGCCGATCATTTTTTCCGCGTCCGACACGGGCATAGTGTCTTTTGCCCCGTCATCGTCATGCTACATCCGCCACGGCGAGACATCGATCGCCGATGACACGTCTTTCGACCACGTTACAAGGCTGCACCAATCATCTTCAAGAACTGCCACGCCCCTGGGTGTCTTAAAAGACTGGAACGGACTTCACTGTGCTAGTGGTGGGCACGGTACGCTTTGCGGCAGCATGTCTAACCCGCTCGTCTTCGCCTGTTTACAGGTAAGCAATAGGACCAGTAGCATGCGGAGCAACTGCTTGTGCCTAGTTGTCGTGCCGTGCCCCCACAAAGTGCTTTCTGTGGTAGCAGAGTGTCTAGACGTGATAAGGCAACTTCTTCTTCTATGCGGTGATGTTGAGCTCAATCCTGGGCCAACCTACACGCTGGAGGAAAAGGTGTCGATGATACTTGATGGCCAAAAGGATCAGACGAGAACGTTAAACGATATAAAACGAGATCAGCGATCTCTACAGAAATCAGTGAATGAAAATACCGAAAATTTTAAAAGCCTAGATGTTAGAATGATAAGGTTGGAATCGGCAATTCACAAGGCAACTGAACTGGAAGCAGTGGTCCGAGACCTGACAAAAACTGTCCAACTACTAGTGCGTAAGGTAGATGACCTCGAAAACCGCTCCAGACGCAACAACCTCATCATATTTGGATTAAACGAAGCAGAAAACGAAACGGCTTTGGAACTAACGCAGACCGTCCAGGCTAATGTTTTTCAAAGAGTTAACGTAAATCCCGAAAGTATCGAACGCATTCACCGTCTTGGTAAAAAGCGGCGAAGCCCACGGCCTACAATAGTACGTTTTTACAACTACCGAGAAAAAATGGAAATTTTACGCAACTGTAATAGGCTTAAGGGCACAAATATTTCTGTAAGTGAGGATTTTTCTAGGCAAGTTCAAAGTTTAAGAAAATGCCTTTGGGACTCCGCAAGAGATGAAAGAAACCGAGGCGCTAAAGTCCGGTTAGTTTATGACAAGATAGCCGTAGACGGTAGCTTGTTTTACTGGGATTTGACATCCGGTTCTCGCCGTCCATATGGGAGCAGCGATATTCTTGAAGGGGAACTGAGTCACAGAGAGGGCCCTGAAAATCAGTCGTGTTCCTGATTTACTCACCGTAATTAATCTAAACGCGCGAAGCGTATTAAACAAGAGAGCCGAGTTGGAAGCCATACTTTTGGAACATGAACCTGACGCGGTTATAATAACAGAAACGTGGTTGAGCACTCAAGTTGAAGATACGGATTTTGTACCACCGAATTATGTTTGCTTTCGTAAAGATCGGGAGTCTCGTGGAGGTGGTGTTGCAGTTGTTATCAAGGAGGAGCTAGAGAGTGAGGTGATGCCTAATTTAGATGGTATTGAATCATTGTTTTGCAAGATCGTAATAAATAAGTGTCCAATCATGATCGGAGCTGTTTACCGTCCTCCTCTGACGAACGAAACCTATTTTACGAGTATAAATGATTATCTATGTGAACATGTCCGAAGTAAAAATAGCAGAATTGTTCTGGCTGGGGATTTTAATCTGCCCAACATTGATTGGTTGAACATGTGTGCAACACATGGGGAAGTTTCCACGTCGCAAGCTTTGATCAATTTAGTATTTTCTCATGATTTGACACAAATTGTCCAACAAAGTACTAGAACGCAAGGTTCTGTTAGTTCTTTGCTTGACTTGGTCTTTTTAAGTAAACGATTGTCGCAGTCGCGATACTCGTGCGAAGTTTTGGACGGTATCTCCGACCACGACATGGTCCTCGTGACGTGTCCCTTAGGAAAGCGTGAAAAAGTACCGCCTGAAACTGTTTCCTTTCCGGATTTCTCTAAGGCAGATGATGAAAGTATATGTGACTTTTTTAATCTACATTATGATAGCTTTAGGCAATTCTCCGCATTAAACGCGACATCTGTAGACGAGATCTGGGCAAGATTTAAAACTATGGTTCACACTGCCATCAACAATTTTATTCCCCTCAGAGTCAAAAAAATCTCCAAGCAAAACCCGTGGATAACAAAAAATATTATTCGCATGAAGCATAGGCTAAAAAGAAAAAGGCGGAATCTAAAAAAATGCGAGACACCTCAAAAGCGAGAGGAAGTACAGGGCCTTTCGGATACTTTTAAATCGGAGGTTCGCAATGCTAAATGTTTTTATATGGAAAATTCACTCACAAACTTTCTAAAAAATTCCCCAGAAAAGTTTTGGCGACATTTATCTCCGGTTAAGGAAACTGTTCCAGGTATTGTCAAGAACGGTTCTATTATAACAGACAAGTGGCAAGTTGCTTCATCATTCAACCATTACTTTCAGTCAGTTTTCACAAGAGACGATGGCATCCTTCCCAATTTCTACGTGCCTTGTGGCATTCCTGCTATAACTGACGTGACAGTGAACCAGCAAGGTCTGTTCAATTTGTTATTAAACCTTGATGCTAAAAAATCATCCGGGCCTGACGAAATACCTAATATATTTCTAAAAAGATATGCAGAATGGTGCTCCCATTACCTGGTAATAATTTTTAAACTAACACTTGACAAAGGAACAATTCCCCGAGATTGGAAATGTGGCAAGATAATTCCGGTCCATAAGAAGGGTGATAAAACTATCTTGAGTAATTATCGACCGATTTCCCTAACGAGCACGTGCTGTAAAACTTTAGAACATATCTTATCGAAACATTTGATCACTTTTATTGAGAGTAACAAACTTATGGGCTCTAATCAGTATGGATTCAGACGGGGGTGTTCTACAACTACGCAGCTAATCGAAATTTTTCATGATTTGAGCATAACCGCAGATAAAGGGGGGCAGACAGATATTATATTTTTAGATTTCGCTAAAGCTTTTGACCGCGTATCGCACCCGAAATTGTTGTACAAGCTTAGTCACGTTCTTAAGAATGATCAGATAGTCGATTGGTTGAACTCATATTTATCAGGACGGGAACAGTATGTGTATTTTAAAAAGGAGAGAACAGAATCATTACAAGTAATATCCGGCGTCCCGCAGGGTTCGGTACTTGGACCGCTTCTTTTTATATTATTTATCAGCGACATGGGAAAGGACTTTGACTCCACGGTAACTTTAAAGCACTTTGCGGATGACACTGTGATTTACTCCAATATCAGTTCCAATGAAGACCAACTAAATTTGGACAAGCACTTGCGTAAGATAATGAAATGGTGCGCTGACTGGCAGATGGAACTGAATATAAGTGAGACGGTCTACATGAATGTAACGCGCAAAAAACAACACTTACAGTTTAACTACAGTATTAATGGTCTTCCGCTTGTTAAAGTTAACGAATATAAATACCTTGGAGTGCACTTAAGAAGTGACTTAAGCTGGAACTCCCATATTGACTATGTATGTAAGAAAGCCTTTCAAAAACTATGGATGCTTAAAACAAAGTTAGAGTTCGCTAGTTCCGATGTCAAATTAATTGCCTTTAAGTGTCTAATTTTGCCAACTCTGGAATACGCTAGTCCGGTTTGGGAGCCATTCACAAATCAAAATATTTATAAATTGGAAAGAATTCAAGATAAGGCTGCTAGATTTATCTTTAATTGCTACCGGTCGACTGAGTCGGTCACAAAACTCAAGGAGCAAGCAGGCCTGCCTAGCATAAAGACCAGATTAGAAACGAATAGAATGAAACTTTTTTTTCAGATATTTCATGGTCATTCGATGTTAGATACCCAAAAATACGTCGTGATGTCTCCTCCGGTGTACCACAGAATAAAACATGGCTTAAATATCCAATCCTATCAATACTCTACGGATCATTTTAAGTACTCCTTTTTTGTTCGATGTATTGATTTCTGGAATAAGCTGCCTGAATGTATAGTCAACTCTCAAAGTGTGTCAACTTTTGTGAAGGAAATTGAAATGTTTCTTTCTTCCCATGTCACCAAGGGATGTGACTGAATTATTGAATTCTTTGTGTGTCCTTGGTATGTTTTTGAAAATATGTACCACTCCTGCCTTGGCCTCACGGCTGGCAGAATGAATAAATAAATAAATAAATAAAAATAAACCTAATTTAATGTTTCTCACTTAAGGCTTTTCTCTGAGACTTTTCTGTCTCAAGGTACACCTCTTGATTCAGAGCCATTCTGGGCATTGAAGCAATGAAGCAATTCAGGGAGTGTTTGGCAGGTAGCTAGGCATGACTAGATGCCTCAGGCCTTCTACAGAAATGCTTAAACTGGAATAGCACTTTACTTAGAAGGCAGGGAGGGCTGAGGAAATTTGGGGTGTCGTGGAACCCCTGAGGGTACTCTCGAGAACTGCCGTGTTCAACCCCAGTGGGTGTCTGGTGTCTGGTGTCTGGTGTAGGTGATAAGTTTAGTTAGTGTGGTACGACTGCTCGCCTGGGGTCAGGCATGTAGCCAGGATTTTGTTTTGGGGAGGGGGGAGGGGGGGAAAGGGAAGGCTTACCCATGACAAAATGCTCTATGAGGCAGAGGGGAGAGAGAAGGCCCCAGCCAAATGGGAGATTTGGGGCCTCCCCCCCCTGGATACACGCCTGCCTGGGGTCTTCACGTGCATCGCACGGTAGCGGTAGCGATACACGACCGCATGTCAGTACTGATTGCTCCCTCTAATTTGCATTATTAATGCGAAAGCATTTATCTTCTCGTGGAACGAGCTGATGTCATCAGTTGGAAGCGCAAAAAGATAGTTTCCGCGCGCCTTCCGTTCCATTGGCTGGCGCGCGTCGACGGAGCTTCCAACCCGAAGCGCTCGCGCACTAGTACGTAGCAGACGACAAAGGGAACGGACGAGCGGCTTGCATGCTTTCGCATTCACAACTCATAAGAAATACTTAGGTGTACCTCGAGCTTTTGTTTACAAGGTCTGTCTTTCGCACTGCTTTTATTGTGTCGGTGTCGGGTCTGACAAGGATTTCTTGGCTATCAGTCTAGAGCAGGGGTGGCCAAGCTGCGGCTCTTCGCGTGTTAAAGTGCGGCTCGCAGCTCCCTTCCTTACATTCGCCTCCCTCCCGGTCAGAGGAGTACTCCCCCAAAAAGAGAAAGAGAACGAGTTTTAAATCGAAAGACAGGTTGCAGTCTGGTAGTCTTGTGCTACCTTACGTACAGTTGTACTGCTTTTGACTCAGATAGATTGAAAGCAGTTCGAGTTTCGTTTATTCCTCTGGACAAAAACTTTTGCCCCCCCCCCCCTCCCCCTCGGCTCTTGGAAGTTTCGTGGTTTTGTTCATGGCTCTTAGGCCGGGTCAGCATGGCCACCCCTGGTCTAGAGAGACACCTGGGTGCTCCTCGGGATCTATGAGTTTGAGAACCTCTGTTCTAAAAGTTTCAGGGCTTGATGACTGAGTTTAGCTGACTGAGCTGTTCTTGCAACAGAGAGGAAAAGTTTGGTATTCGGGATAATTTTACGCAGCGGCGCAAATGAGACACCCTAAAGGGACACTGATGAGGCATCTATGCACGTTCTAAGACGGGGTGTTTTTTAATCCATCGTGTATCTCAAAAGCACGGAGTATTTCGTTTCTCCGAATGTTTGCAGCATTGTCATAAATTCGCCGTGTGATGTACTCCTGTTTATGCTCTTCCTGGAATGTGAGCCAGATTAATTGATTCACGTAGATCCTCCGCAAGATCCTTGGCAACGTGAGGCACTCACTGAGCGATGAGGACATTGTAGAGACGGCGGATGCGGCTCACGGCCTCACGGGAGCCGACTTGGCAGCCATGTGCGCCGAGGGTGAGTGTTTTGACAGTCATCTAGCACAGCGCTTTTGAACTCCATACCTTCTATGAAAAGCTAAATTGAATCAAATTTGATTTGTTTGATTTGCAGTGGGAGCGCTATGAATAACCTCAACCAAACATCATGATGAGGACAGCAGATAACTAACGCTTGCACACTCGCCGCTTCAGTATAGAATATTCTAAGTACTATATCCTGATGTCTCCAGATTATGTTACATGTTAAACAGACGGGCACTCCATTGTTTCTTAATCCTTCTTTTACACATCTGCCATAACACACCGAGCAAGCACCCACCGAAAAGTTACAGATCATCGCAAATAAATGGGTCCGAGAGCAGAAAAGACGAGGGGGCACGTGGAACTGTAGGCCCTTCCTGGGTCAAGCTTCACCACTTTGCACCGTTTTTCAGTTCTTTTGTTTTGTGGTTTGATGCAGCTGCGCTACACTCTCTGGATAGACATCTGAAAGACCCCACTGCGACGGACGCCGTCTTGAGTCATGAAGTCGAGCTCAACATGGCAGACGTGGCGGCTGCCCTCAAGCGTACCAAGCCCAGTGCCATGCGCGAGGTCTCCCTCGAGATACCCAAGGTTGGCATGTGGTGTTCGTTGTAATCTTTGTGTTTGGTCTATATACCAGTTTGCAGTCAACACAACGGTTTTAAGTCTATACAACTTTCAGAGGCAGTTCAACGAAGGTCACAGGCCGGGTAGTTGCACAGTTAAGGTTCATACCTGTAAACAAAATGATGGTGCAACTTCTAAAAAGTTGCACCATCGTATAAGATTGAAATTTTGGAAACAAACTCTTCAAGAAGCGACTTGTTTGTGTAGTAAGTTTTGTGCGGACATTCATAGAATTGACTGCTTTTCTTTGTGCGAACTGAAGAAGGCATTTTTAATTGAAACAAGGAATGACTCCGTAACGACTCGTGTTGCCGAGGTGTTTGTTTGTAAATTGACTGAAAAGACAAGTTCTACGACATAGTAAAGTTTCATATAGTCAGTTACAGGTTAAGAAAAGTATTCAAGGTGGAGGTGGGCTGGGGAGGAGGAAGCAAACAAAACGCTGGAGAGGAGAGAAGGAAACCTCCTCCTCTCTCCAGCATTCCAGCTGCTTTCTTCTCTTCAGCCTTCCTTTCCCTCAAAATCTTTTCTGAACTTGTAACTGACTGTAGTCTAAAGGCCTCTTCACACATGCAGCACAGCACTACTTTCACACTAGTATACTTGTCACATGAAAAAAAAAAAGGAACGTTTTGAACATTTTTTCTTACAACATTTGGATGTTTAAAAAAAAAAATCAATAGGTAATTTTGCATTTTGAAAGGTGTATATCTCGATAAATAACAAATCTAATGTAGGATCAGGGTTTTCCCCATGGTGGGCGGCAGTGGCTTTGCCGCCCACCACTCCGACTGACCGCCCATTGCTCTGACTAACTGCCTACCACTCGATTATTTATTTATTTATTTATTTGATACGTGCCCACAAACAGCATAACGCCTTCAGCGAGGTGCGCAAAAGGAAACGAAGCAAAGAAAGTATGTGAAAATAGGTAAAAAAAGCGAAGAAGAAAGAAAAAGAAAAAAGAAAAAAGAGAAATTAACAAATATTATACATGACAAGAGAAATTAACAAATATTATACATGACAAGAGAAATTAACAAATATTATACATGACTCTACAACACAAAGAAGTACACTCAGGCTTTGGACAAATGATGCCACAGGATGATGATGTGATTTTGCCTGCACACATGGCTGCAGACCGTTGTACTCAGCAGGCCTGCACACCACCACGTTGTCGCATCTTCCACTGCAGCCATTCTTTCAAACAAGGAGAGTGAAGCTACAGAGCGCCGCTGGCACTGAGGTGGGGGGAGGGGACCCCCCTCCCTGCCAGCGGCTGAGAAACAGAAAATAAACAGACATGACGAACGCACACCGCGCAGCAGTTCTCTTTGCAGGCTGTCTGTGGCAGAGAGCCGAGAGGAGTTTTCTTTCACTGCTCAATGCTTGCTAGTGCCGTGGCTTGCTTTATCTCTGCCTCTTCGCTCACTCTCCGCCTTTCCTACCCCTTTTTTCTTTTTTTCCAGGGCAATTTGGTTTATATAGTATCTCCGCGGCACGGTGTGGCATCGAAGGCACACATTCAATATTAAAAACATAAAAAAATAACGATAGCCATTTTTTTGTGGCTTCTAAAAAAAATCTTCAAATTTGTTGATTGAAAAAAAAAAAAAAGTTCCACAGCCACATGACTTTTGGCAACTCTCTCCTCCTCTATATTTCTTCCTACTCCCTAGTCCAGTTTCGGTTTTAGTTTCGAGCAATTGGATTTTTTTACTTTATTAAAAATTAAAGTGATGCTGCAGCAAAATATTGATTGGGTAGTTTTCTGACACCATAATGGATCACCTGGCAAAAAATAAAACCAAAAATATCTAGGGGGGGCGGGGGGGGGGGTCTGTTTCTTAAATTCAACATATGAAAGGGGAAATTAGTAATCTTCTGTGAGGGGCATACTTTTTTTACTGCTGTTCTTGAGGTAAATACAAGTATACAAGTCAGTGCTGAAAATAGATATGACCTTGCTGATGCAAAACTGAGTTTGCGCTATATTAGTGATACAGCATTCCATCAGCATTGAGTTACGTTCAAGTGAACACTCTTCTTACTATTGATTTCGCGCCGCGTTGTATGTATGGACCGGTCTTTGTAGTGATCTTTCGGTGTAGCAAAAATTTTCTGTTGTATGGTCCAGTGAGGTTCTGTAGGAGCAGCGGTACCACCATGAGCTGGAAATAAGGAGCTTGCTGCAGTTGTGCACTTTTAACTGAAGCAGATTTTACAAAATTTAGCAAATACATTTGAAGAGTTCTAGGTGGATGGTGTTCCCACATCGATGTTGTTGTTTTTATTGCCATTGTGCTAGTGATATATTGCTGTTGTTAATGTGTGTACAGATTTTGTTTCTTAGGTCTTGCGTTGCATTACGTGCTGCTGGACCTCACCCCCGACGCAGGCCGTTGGTACCCTGTCGGGCTACTTTGTTTTGTTTTTCGTGCCTTTGGACCTTCCAGAAAAAGGTCTTCTTGCCTTAAAACAAAAAAATAATAATTTTGTCTTTTTTGCAGGTTCGCTGGAGCGACATTGGAGGCATGGAGGAGGTGAAGCTGAAGCTGCGGCAGGCGGTGGAGTGGCCCTGGAAGCACAGGGAAGCCTTTGAGAGGCTGGGGGCCACTCCTCCGCACGGACTACTCCTCTACGGACCCCCAGGCTGCTCCAAGACCATGGTGGCCAAGGCACTGGCCACTGAGAGCGGACTCAACTTCATCGCCATCAAGGCAGGGATGCTCTTCTTTTGGGCGCTTCAGCATTGTCGCGGTCCCTGTTGGCAATATGCGTGACCAGAAACATCGCCATAAGCAGTCTTGGAGGCAGATTGGCAAATTTCAGCCTTACAGCTTGTTTGGATTTTTTTAAAGGTTCTTCCCCCCTCTGACAGCCAGCGACACCTTTTGCAGAAAGCGGTCACTTGAGGGGACACTGGTGGAGTTTCCAGGCCAGTTACGTATAAGGGTCGCTGCAGTGCCAACCTTAGTATTATTTTGTAAACTGTCTAACATATTTCGTAAAAGCAAAATACAACAATTGAGAATACACTTTCTTGTGGACTTTGCATAGAAATTGGTTAGGGTGGCATATATAACAGTGTCTTCAAGTTTCATCGGTGTTCTCTATGTCTAGCATGAAGTATTTGATTTAGTGTGTGTGTTCACGGTTGTTTACTGTGAAAAGTATTATTGCTATACACGTTTGCAAGTCTGGCTTCCGAGCGCTGCCATCTTGCTCGCTGGGGTGCGCTTGGACACGTCCTAATCCAATTACGAAGCCATGCTAAGGCGTCATAATCGGATTATGGCCGCTCCCAAGCGCACCCCACTGGGCAAGATGGCGGCACCCTGAGACCGGACTTGCAAACGTGTATACATGGCTTGCTTTGACGATATGCCGCCATCATGGTGAATTTGCAATTGAGTGCAAGCATCTTGCAGCCTACATTTCGTACCCCTGCCTTTGGTTATCTCGGGAAGAACAAGCGGGAACGACCACCAGCGCGGTGCGATGACTTCATGTGCAAGCCACGTATACCTTTGCTTTATTAAGCTGAAGGGTATTAAAGATTAACTGGCATATAAATTAGAGTGGCTTATACAGGATGTTTTTTTTTTTTTAGGCTTTACATATTTGTTTAAAAAGGTCTGCAAAGGCCACACTGATGTGGTTTGTGCAGGTGATCGTTATACGGCCAGGGGGCATACTACGTATAGACCACTTACAACGTAACCGCTTATAGTGCAGGACCGGGTATAACGCGGTTTTTTTAAACCACCGGTTCACCTCCCATAGAACTCCATGTAATTGCATACCGCTTAAAATGCAGGCGCGCGAAGGGAAATACCGGTTATAGTGCGCTTTTTGGCACAGCCCGCCGACCGCGCCGACGACCGGAGCAGCGAGTTCGCTTCCCTGTGCGACACTAGATAACGGCGCTAACGGCGCGAGCCGCAAACTGCACTCGCGGGGCAAGGAGGTTGCTGGAAAACGCGGGGAGAAGCGAAGAGAGAGGCTTCAGTTGCCATAGCGACGGAGGGACGCACGCACGTGTCGTTCACGTGCGTGCGTCCCTCAGCTGCGTTGGAAACAAAGAAACAAACAACCGCAACGACAGACCAATCCCAGGTCGAGGAGAAGTGTTCGCGCGCGTTGCATGCCGGTCGCGGGCGTCGGTTGTGATCGTCGTCGTAGACGGCATGCATCTCATCGTTCTGCGTAAAAGCGCTATCCTTGACTCTGAATTTTCGTTGTGTGTCGCTATAACCCAGCACGTACTAGAAGGGAAGATCGGTGTTGATGTCGCTGGCCTGTAATAAGGCGGAGCCTCCTGAGGGGGCGGTTCACCGAATGATACTTTAGCAAATAGTTGGGCGCCGCGAAGCGGCGTTTACGTGTGGGCCAATACACACACACATGTGGGTTCACATTTTTTGTAATGAGCCGCCTCAGACTGTCGCCGCGAAGCGGCGTAAAGCGCAGCGCGGCGGATGGGTTAACGCGCGCCCCCGTTATTGCCCGGGGGCTCCGCCTTATTACAGGCCAGCGACATCAATACCGGAAGATCCACCTACTCGTGCGGCGATGTCGTAGCGGCGCTCTCAAGACGGCGGAAACGCCCGTGTCGTTGTGTTTGTTTACTTCGACTACAGTGGTGATTTCTAAGCATTTGTGTCCTCGAACATCGCCCGGATTTCTTATTTGGCGCATTTCATGCGTGTGCTCAAGTTCAAGGTATTACTGGCGCGTACCGTATGAAGGATGCGAATTTTCACGCGTTTTCATCTCCGGAGAAAAGTGATTAGGGTTAGCAATCCTGAACGCTCGCGACGTCCGTCCGCAACCCGCGACGCCGTTAAAAGGCTGCGCCAGGCAAAAGCCGCTAATTTCTTTTAAAATGTGTGACACACTTGAGACGTAACTGTACTAGTCTATTGAAATAAAGTCTTTCCTCAAACTAAGCTTATTTTTTCATCTAACATAAAATAAATTCTTTTACAAAGGTAAGTTGTCTCGGCATGTATTTTGGCCTGAAAAATTGATGTTTTGGTTATAGTGCGGTACCGCTTATAGTGCGGATTTTCGCGACTCCCGAGACATACATTATATGCGGTCTACACTAAGGGGCTAACCGTTGCAATAAGTCGGGTAACTAAAATGTGTTCATTGACTTTTAATTAGTGAAAATAAGCATTTGGTTCCAATTAGAAACTTGCTGAGCATCATAGAACACCACTAAATCAGCCGAAAGACTTTAAGCACGTGGGAGGCCCAGTGGAGCGGTGAAAGTTAGTACTTATGCAGCGGAGCAAGGCTATCAGTGCGATAATGTGCCTGCACATTTTTTCTGTCTCTTAACTGCGTTTTCTTGCCGCCAGCCTTGTGCTTGTGGAAACATTAGTGCACTACCGTGCTTCCCACGTACTCACTCATTCTAAAAATTACTGATTTAGTGGTTTTCGATGACGCTCATCAAGTTTTTAATTAGAACCCTATGTGCACTAATTAAAAAGTTAATTAATAAATTTTAGTATGTTATTCAACTTAATGTGACGACTAGACCCCTATATTATGTCCCCCGGCTGTATAACTCACCCGCAGACTTCATTAGCGTGGCTTTCATGGCTTTTTTAAAACAAATCTGCAAGGCCGAACACGAAAAACCCTGCATATTAGTGTCATTAATTTTTCACCAATACTTTTCATTCGAGACTATCAGAATATATTTTGTTTACCGTGTATCCACGGCTCTTCACTTTGTTAAAAAAGTGCCATTGCCATAGCTTGGCTCTTCTAAGCCTAACGCAATACCACTTCAGGGACCCGAGTTGTTCAGCAAGTGGGTTGGAGATTCGGAACGAGCCGTGCGTGAACTCTTCCGCAAAGCCAGGACAGCTGCGCCCTGCATAATCTTCTTCGACGAAATCGACGCCTTGGCAGCACACAGGGGAAGGTAACCATGTCGCTTTGCTACTTTCGATTCCGTGTGGTACCTACCTTCTTTCTTTACCTTTACGCAATATGCCGCGATTACCGCAGCACAAGCGGAAGCAGCAACGTGGGCGATCGCGTCATCGCCCAGCTACTGGCCGAGATGGACGGCATCGAAGCACTTCAGGACGTCGTTCTGGTGGCTGCCACAAACCGCCCAGACATGATTGACCAGGTGAGGGTCTATGCATTGCCACTCCACGTCTCAAGTTGCCATTCTTCGAACTCTTCAATCTCAAATGCTCGATTGCTAGCAGAGGAAGCCCCTCCTGCGGTTTGAATTTGGTGAAGACAGGAGCAAGAGCATCAGCGACCGCTGACTGGACGTGGTGCCGCAGCTTGCACATAATCAACCAATGAGGCTATTTCGACTCGTTTGCGAGTTCACAATCGAGCAATATTTTGGTGAGAAAGTCTCGCCAACGTACCAATAACAAGAGGTCTCGCTGGCCCTCTTGTGCTTGTCCTTGGTACTCTTTCATCCACCGGTCGATATCGGCTTGTGTACGGCTACAGAACCACTTGATATTTGAAAACAAAGCATCACCTGTCAGTGGCTTTCAACGTGAAATAGGAGACAATCACAATTTCAGCTTCCTTCCAATCATCTCACTTCACCGCAGCACTCGGTTCATACTAGACAATGTACTTTATTCCCAGTCTGCTAGCGGACGACATACGTCATTTTCTCATTTTATTTTTCTCTGCAAGTGACGCTTCATAGCAGACGAACCGCCTTCTTCACTCACGTTAGCATAAGAACCATCTACAAACACTATCTTCGCTCACTCCGGGAGAGGTGCAGAAGCGTACAATGCAGTGCTGAAGCCTACACTTTGTCAACGATACTGCGCATACCACGGAGTGTTTTGCACATTTTTTTGCATCAACGGATGACTCAGATCCTTTTAAAGTAGTGCTTAAACTGGAAAATTACTTTAATTAGGGGAAGGGACGGCCAACGTAAATTTGGAGCTGGGGCGACCCCCGACGGTACTCTGGGAATGCCCAGGTTCCTGGGCAGCCTGTTTGAGAACCCATGTAAAGCATAGATTCTCAAATAGGGTTCCAGGAACCCCCAAGTAAAGTGTTTTTCTCCAGCCTAAGCACTATCTTATTAGATCGAAGGCACTCATTCACGCCCAACTATAGGCCAGAAACTGCTTAGTATGTGCATTTTTCAAGGTCTGTAGTCTCCTGTATTGCTTTGGTGTGCCAGTGCCGAGACCAGGACCTCCGCTGCCATTCAAGGCAGATTGTTGACACCAAAGAGTTTAAAAGCTTTCGCAGTGTAAAGTGTTGGTCATCAAACTGGGTTTTAAGTGACTCGAGGGTTCTTCGGAGTGCTGTTGCCCCGACCTTACAAATTTCCTCGACTGTCTCTGCACTGCATAAAGCGTCTTTCCTGTTTGAGCAGCTTCGATTTTCGTACAGGCCTTGATGCGGCCCGGACGACTGGACAGCATTGTCTATGTGCCGCTGCCAGACTTGGACACGCGAAGAGAGATCCTGCGTATCAACTTGTCCAAGCGGCCGCTTGGCGACAGTGTATCTTTGGATGACCTGGCTCGCAAGACTGAAGGATACTCGGGCGCAGAGGTGAAGTATAATCTGTCTCGTGTTCCTTTACTTTCAGTGTGACGTCTATGCGGAGCGCAAGGTTCGTCTGCTTCCTGCGCAGTGATTGCGGTGACGTCAGAATGCCAAGCTCTGACTGGCTACGATTGTAAAACAGTGGGTAGACCTCAATGCTAGCTGCCTTGACGCCTACCCACCATCCTTTTAATCAGAGCTCAACATCCTGATGTCACCGCAACCTTCGCGCAAAAAAGCAGACGAACTTGTACTCCACATAGTCACGGACTGGATGAGAATGGTAGGAAGGTTTTCAGCTGTTTCACCTCCAGCTTTCCACCGTAATAGGGGGTATTCACTGGACGCCATATTTGAGGTAACTGTTCACAGCGCATACCCAGGAAGAGTTTCCAGTCAGCTCTCAGGCAACCGCAAGAGAAAAGGGGAAGGAGAAATTCTCTTATCACCGGGACTCTCCTTCGTAGGTCCCAGGCTTCCCCAAATGCAGCTATTCTCCCTCTAGAAGATTATAGAAGATTAACTTGCCACTCAAAATTCGTAAAAAAGCATCCTTCCCTTCTCTCTCTTCCCCAGTGGTAAGAAAGCAGCAGCAAGCTCAGCTATGATTGCCAGTGAATACTCCCTATACTTTGGCTTCTCATGAGTTTAAGGGGAGAGGCTGGTCTTTAACTTTGTGTTTTTTATCTTTCATTTATTGTGCTGAAATTCAGGATACTAATGTATTTATCAGTAGTGATTTCAAATGTGCAATTAGTTTTCAGATAGCTTTACGAAATCATGAGTTATTAATAAATTTGCCATTTTAATTAGGTTCTCTTTACGGGTCGTTAGCATAAAATTCTTCAGAATCTATCAGAAATTTTTATAGAATTGCATTAACCAAGACATGTTTTGTGCGGTGATGCTATTTTTCTTGCTTCATATCTCGTAAAATAATTTTAATTAATTAATCTAAAAAAGATGTAACCTCCCATTTTGTGCAACTTCATTTTAAATGTTTTCTACCAATATAATATCATTAGATTAGGCTTAAAATAGCATCACCACACAAAACATGTCTCGGTGAATGTAATTCTATAAAAAATTGCAATATATTCTGAACAATCTTATGGTAACGGCTCGTAAGAAGGACCTAATTAAAATTACAAATTTGTTAATAACTCAGGATCTAGTTAAGCTATCTGAAAATTAATTGCATATTTGAAATCACCACTGAGAAATACATCAGTATACTGAATTTCAGCTTGATAAATGAAAAATAAAAAACGAAAAGTTAAAGACCAGCCTCCCCCCTTAAGTGTCCATACAAAGCAATAAGCATGTATATCTGGGCTAAAGTGCCAAATGTCTGAAATGACAATGTAGAAGAGCATGCAGGAATAGTAATGCAAATCAAACAGTTCATAGCTTTATTGGTGATATCATGATGCAAACTTGGAAGTTGGCGTTTCTCTGGTGGAGCTGCTCTGCCAACATTGTGGCTGTGCTTCGAGCTTGTAATTAGAGGTGTGAAAATCTTAGAAACTTTGATCAATTTGCAAGTTACCATTTACCAATGGATTCGGTTCACGGCACGCTTTTACCGTTGCAGTTTTTAGAATATTCCCTCCGTTTCTCGCACCAAGCTTCGCAGCATCACCAGCGCTCTGGTGTCGAGCTTCACTTTTTTGCACCGGCATGCCAGGAGAAACGGCTAACGTGTCGGAGCATCTTGGTAGGGTCAGAGGGTCTGAACAGTTTCCTCATTATTTTGGGTCAACCTTCTTTGATTAGTTTTATGGTGTGACCCCTACATTTTAAAGGACAGGGCCAGAAAAGAAAACAATGTTATCTTCAAATAAATAAGGAGGTCACTCCTTTGCTTCCCATGTCAGATTATGCTTCTCCCAACTCCTGTCACCTTACCGCACCTTTACTTTTTTTAATATGATGAGAAATGTTTCTTATGCAATAAAAGTGTTCAGTTCCATAGGTGTTTTCCCAAAAAGAATTCCATCTGTGATTTATCAAAGTATCCATGCTCAATTCACATTAAATGTAAGATATTCATATTCAGAAATATTCAAATTGCACACCTCTTCTCAATGTACAGTGGTATCTGAGCCTAGTGAGATTTAACTTTGTACACCACATCCTTTTTTTTTTTTTGGTACATTTTGTTTAAAATGGGATTCAAAGAAATGCTGTACATGTAAGGCACTGGCAACTGGACCGAGTAGAATCAAGCGGGATTTTACCACCGAGAATGGCTTTGAACACACTCTTCTTCACAGTGCACTATACAGCCAAGCAGCAGCAGGTCTTGCAATTAGAAGCACTAAAATTGGGCTGTAAAATGGAAGACCAGGTTCTTCTTGTAGTCTTGTAAGCAATTCATGCAGGTCAACTTTTTAAATTAGTTTTGTTAATGTGAAAATACTAATGTGCAATCCACTTATAACAATAATGAAAACAAACAAACAATTTATAACCGATTATTGTTGTATCTGGACTAGAAACAGATCGTTATAAGCAATACATTGTTATATGTGGTAATGTTATAAATGGATTGCACTGTACAGGGTATGCTAAATGGTAACGTTCACTGTACTCATACCTGTTGCACTGATGCCGATACATACCTGCCAAGTCTCCTGTATTACCGGGGAGACTCCGGAATTTTGACCATTTCGTCCGGTTGTACGATTGACAGGAAAATCTTCCGAAAAACTCAAATTAACCCCCCTCCCTGCACTTAAACGAGGTCTCCTCCCCACGACAGCAACGATAGCGGGACCCAGCTATATCTCACTAGCATGAGCAGTGCTATACAAATGTAATAAATTTGTCTTCATGTAAATTAATTGTCAACATTTCTTTAAAAAAAAACCTCCAGGCTCAGAAAATCTCCCGGACTTCTGAACTCGGCAGGTATGCAGATATTTTAAGTGCACTGTAAAACACGAGTGTCACTTTACTAGAAAGGAGTAACGTTGTAGAAAAAGTAAAGTTAAAACACACTATTAGCACCTTACTAAAACGAATTGCCACTTTATACACCAGTAGGGCCAAAAACTGTCGTGCTCTTTTCGATAAAACGCCGTGTGGCATCCCACGTCTGCACAAGCCCCGTGACTCTCGTTCCGTAAAAAATGGCAAGGGGCCGTCATTTCAAGGCACTACAAAAAGCCTGGACTTTCAACTGCTAACTACCATAGGCAGAGGCAGAGTGAGCACGGCAGGGCGTCTGCTTCGGATGCGCGGCTCCCAGCTGCATTTTTTCTCGCTTTGGGCGCACGCACACGCTCGAGCATTATCGAAGGTGGGGAGCTGGTGCTGGAGGTGAAAAAAACCGAGGGACCTCCCCGCGGTTCTCATTCTTTTAACGGTTAAACCGCAGCGCCGACTAATAACTGGCACCACCGCTAGTTATCCCGGGGGTCCGGTCATGACTAGAAGCAGGCAGCAAGGAAACAAGCAAACGGTTCTACCTGGCAACATGCACAGAGTTCAGAAACGAAACTTGCCAAACAGACGACGAACGCGTCTTCGTTTGTGCAAACGAAAAGGTATACTAGCTGGGTAGCTTGACTTCCAGACGACGCTTTGGAACACGCTTCGGTCGCGGCGAAAGCGAGTCGCGTTGGAACTGAAGTGGCGCGCGCACATACGTAAACGTTGCACGTTTCCCGACGAACAGGTGGTGGCCGTGTGTCAGGAGGCTGCGCTGATCGCGCTGGAGGAAGACATCGAGGCCAGGCACATCACGGCACTGCACCTGGAGGCCGCACTGCAGCTCGTCCGGCCACGCATCTCGCAGGAAACGGTCCAGTACTACGAGTCCTACTGGGCATCTACGGGAAAGGGCCGACACTCTCGGCCGGGACTCGGATGACCTCATCTCGTGCCAACGCATCGTACCATCGGAGAACAGTTTTTTGTGGGAACACAATGAACAAAGTTGTTCTGACTTGGGCAGACGTGTTTGTGTACCGCTCACGAACCGCCGAACAATTTGGTTCGCCGAACCGTGCAACTTCGGTCGATGCAACTTCAGCTGGTTGATGGTGCTCGCTGTCCCGCAGACAGTTCTTCTAGAGTGTCGGGTTCTCTGGGGCAGGCTAGGGTTAGCACCTGCGGCCCGGACTGCAGCAGGAGGACGTCGTCTTCGATGCGCATGCCCACCCCGCGAAACCTGGGGGCGACCTTCGTGTCCGTTTCAGGGATGTAGATTCCTGTGAGTAATGAATGGCGACTGTGTAGAGGAAACCAAGTTCTACCTGAAGTACTCTGGTTGTAAAGGTAGAGTTGCTCACTCTGGTTTAGTCCCTCTGACTGCACAATACACTTTGGTGATAAGCAAAAATGGCAACCTTACGTTCGGCAGACCTGTTTAACTTCACTGAATTTCCTTACCACAATGAGGCTCAATGGACTTACCAATGAAGGTTTTGATACTGTTTGTATCTAGAATGTCACCTGTACCACATTTTGTTTTCACTTTGTCTGACTTGGCCCCCTTACATAACTAGTTTTACCGTGGCAATTTTCACACCGATGTGAAATACTGCCATAATTTTTAGATGTATACATCTTTTTTCTGAAAGTGAAAGAAATGGTCAACGTGCAGGTGAGCTGGTGCATATTAATCATGATGTTTAAACCTCAAGACTGGGAAGTAAACTTAGATATATTTAAAAAAAAAAGAGAAGGGAAACTAAAATTTTGAATCATCGAATTTTTTTTTTTTTTTATTTGGCACTGTTTGTATGCAGAAAGCACTGCATTCTTAACTGACATTGTTTCTTCTATTCCTTTGTCTGTCAAAGGACTTAGGTTTGTTTGAACTGTTTCGGAGAGGATTCCTTCCTGGGCCTTGTTTGGGTTCATGCCTTTATGCGCTTGGAACAAATTGACTTAGAATTGAGTCACCTTGAAAATAAAGTGTGTGTTTTCTTTTTGTATGTTGTGGACAACCTTGGGAGAAGGGTATAAAATCATATGAAATAAATTTTGTTAGTTGAGTTTCAGATGCTTGTCTATCACCTTTCTTATGTTCCTTCTAATATATCTCCCAAGTTCCCTTTCCAGTCTCAAGGTTTAAACATCATGATTCTTCTGAAAGGTTTGACAAGGAATGAATCTGACTGAATTCAGATTTCCATTACTTTAACTTGTTTGTTGAAAGTGCCAATAAGACACAGTGATCTGCAACTAATATCCCTTGAGAGAGAGAGAGGGGGTGGGGTCACCGACCTGGCTCGACAGTGACCACGCATCCTGGAGGCAGCCGCATGCTTCGTGGAAGCAGAGGGGTGTCGTGTACATCCATGCCCAAGTAATGGCCAACGTGGTGGGGGCACAGCTTGTGAGCTTCCTGCAACCGTCCACAATGACATGTAGAATTACTTCGACAGAGGTTTGGCAGCGACAGTCCCACCCAGGAACATGGTTAAAGCTATTGATCCTCTTTGAAACATGTTTAAAATCAGGCAAACTGGAGTTGATACGCTGAACAAAGGAACTATCGCACAGCTTGCTTGTCAAAGGAAAAAAATGCAATGCCTTTTGCGTTTGAAACATGTATGTTTCATTGAAACAACGTATGACTTTTCTTAAATGTGCATATTTTAAGTACCTTAGTTCATCACATAAAAAGAGAAACTTGACAATGCCCTGCATAAAGTCAAAATGTGTTTTACTATAGTTCTTGAGGTGACAAGAAGTGGGACCGAAAATGAAACCAGCACACATTGAATTTCTTTTTGCTTGTGCGAACTGAAAGCTACTGCAGCATTTTTGGAACAAAGGATCAGTAAAAAACGACACCAAAGAGCAGGTGCTTTTTGGATCACGCCCCCCAAAAGCTTGCTTTGTCAGCAAGACCACCCTCCGAAATCTCCCACACGTAACTAAACCTTACCCTGGCGAGTTCGGAGTCCGGCGTGGCCGGAGCGAGGACCCCCGCCTCCCTCAGCCTTAGCCCGAGCAGGTTGCACATGGTGTGGAACAGAGAGTCCAGGGACACGGGGAGCTCCCTCAGCAGCTGCTGCTGAACGTCCCAGAGCAACTCGTACAGCTCCCGCTGACCCGACCCGAAGCTCCCGTTGACCGGCCACGTGCGCGTCAGGTCGCTCGCATAGCCGTGTAGCTCGCACCCTGGGCGGGGAGGATACGGAGCGCCACTACGTCACCCACAGACCAGCGCTGCTATAGTGCGTGGTGCGCTTCTCCGAATGGTGTAGTCCCTCAATCTGTAAACGCCAAAATGGCGGCGCCCGCAAGACGACCGGAGGAATGGAGCGCTGATACTCTACGCGTAGGTTGTCTAGCGACTCCGGTGCAACCCGATGTTGCTAGACCAAACTCTGTTGTCGGGCTTCCTAAAATGCCTCTCGCCTTTTCGTGGCACATGTGCTGGCTACGCCATTATCCCTGGCCATACAGACGGAAGCAATGGAACAGGTGGAACTCTGAACACACATTGTCTATGGCAGCGGTCTCTTCATTTGAGTGCGGAGGTCAGATAGCCCACCCCCGAAAGGACGAGGGCCAATTTTGCTGTTTTGGAACAAAAAAAAAAAAATGAACAAACGTGGAGCACTGCTGTTTCATGTTGCAAAGCAGCTGACTGTCCCAGCAACATTCAAGAGATATTTTTAGATGAGCCTTCTGCTTTTTGTAAGCTCATTGTTTTGCCCTCTTTAGTTTTTCTTTGCATATACAACTACTTAGGGCTCACGCTTGATGTTATAAAAAGATTTAAGACACCACCATACCACAGTACTGGCAGGTTTCTATAGAACAAGAGCAGGCACAGCGCCCCGTCGCACAATTCCCCCGGTTCAACAGGCATAGAAAAGATCTCTCTTCATGCAGCAGTTTTTTGCTTTCCTGAAAATTTTTATAGCAGCATTACAAGATAATACTTTCATTTTAAAGGTATTGTCTGAAAGCTAGAAGCCCAAGCTCATAGCTTTGCCTTTAGCCGTTGCTCCCTGCTGTGCAAGAATTTGCAAAGCCAAGCTAAAAAGCAAATATTTAAACAAAGCGATACTAAAAAAAAAACAAAAGCGAAATGTGCAAATGAGCAGAGCTGCTTTTTGAGCGGAAATGAATCGACAATATAAAACAACAATTTATGGCGCATGTAGCGCTCAAGGCATGGGAATGGGGGCTCGCAGCTGCAGGATGCTTGTGGGCTGCACCCCAGGGAGTCATTGTTTATGTGTTTGATATTCCTGGTCTACGGTGAAAGGCTGTGGTTCCTACGGTGACCACGAAGTTTGCACTAAAAGAGAGTTTTTTTGGAAACGGTCCTTCTCCGTAGCTCGTAGGAGCGGTGGCGCTAGGATTGCTCCCCATCCGTACCTGCTGGCATGTGGGCAGGGTGGACAGTAATAGTCGAGACGATTAAATCACGATTTAAATTGCGATTTAGGTTGTATCGTTTTGGCTATGATGATTTAAATTAGACGCTTCCCCCAAACAATACTGAAAATTTTTCCCGTTTACCGTTTGTCTATTGGTGTTTGCTTCCTATGGACATTTATTTTGTATTTGAAGCAAAAAATGATTAAGCAGGGAAAATTTATATCAGGCAGCCATCAAAACAAACCTTTAGTGATGAAAAAAAAGGCAACTCTTTCCTATACTCGTTTTAGCCCGAAGAACCGTAGTAAGCAAAGTCCGGCTCCTCGCGAAACATTAGTAATTTCCCCCTTCATGTGCTGAATTAAGATGTAGGTGCATCTTAGATTAGATAAATGTTATTTTATCAAGATGAACATGTTTCAAATGCCAAAAGCATCGCCTCTTCCTCGAACAACCAAATCGATAAGAACTACCGTAAAATACTGTGGAAGCACCCACTTCGTTCAAGCGCCCACTATTAGCATTTCCCAAACTTGGGAATTCTGCAAATTATATGTTAAGTGCCTGATTTGACCGAACAAGAGCCCCTGTCTAGATTAACTCAGTTTTCAGTAAAAGTGGGTGGGCACTCCCTTGGTATTTTACGGTACTTTGCATGGCGTGCAAACAATGCGTCTTTGTTTTTTTATACTGTCGAGACCGGCTGTCACAAAGTCAATGGGGATCGGAAATCATTTTGCTATATCCGCTATTTCGTTATAACCGACTTCGTTATGACCGGTCTCGACAGTACAAATTAATATTTGTTTCCACTTTGCGTATGGGCTACCGAGAAGGACCGCTTTGGAACGACGCTCTTCCGCGGAATTTGTCAAATGATGGATGTAACAACGTCGGTGAAACCTACCTGCATCCATGAGCACCAGCTCTCCGTCGAAGACCCGCTGGTCGTTGGCGACGTAGTGGATGACGTTGGCCCGGTTTCCACCGGCCACAACCGGAGGGTAGGCTAGCCGCTCTGCTCCGCGTATCCGGCACTCAAACTCCATCTTGGCGTGCAGCTGGGCCTCCGAGACGCCCCCGTGAGACGCGCGCACCACTTCCGCCATGGCCTCCCCCGCCACTCGGCAGCTCTGCCGCATCAGGTTCTGCTCCGCCTCCGACTTGATGAGGCGCAGGCGCTGGATTGGCAGCCGCGGCGATTCTATCGCCAAGTTGCCCTTGTGTTCTTCGCTCAGCTGGCCAAGCACCCTGCGGCAACGAGGCAGTTCCTTTACGACTGCAGTTTGTATAAGAAGATGCGAGACCATTTGTAGAATCTGAGCTTGCCCCGTTGGCACCGGACAAAACAGACCCGTTGCTAAACACACGGTGCCGTGCACAGCACCAAGAGGAATGCTGGGAATCGTCTTTACAGATCTGGTTGTAGCAGACGGCAAAGGAAACGCAGGCTAGCAACTGTGCTACCCCTCCCTCTTTTGTCCTCTGTGGTATCGCGTGGTAGATGTTGAGGGGGCATGCGCAAAGTATGGGAATTAAAGCATGGCCTTCGGGGTTTTTTGCAAAAGGAATATTGTAAAAGAGCATCAAACAGCTATGGTTCTAGGTTCACTCGAGTTAGCCCCGCTTGACGAGCAATAGGCGAACTGGATTTGAAAGACAGCAGACTATGCAGCACTTGCACAAGCCCTTAGATTTCTTTTAAGTTCTCTCTCTTGCCTGTAGATGGTGCAACCATACTCCCTTCGAGTTTCCTTCGTGGGACTATAAAAATAAATCGGCTTGACCTGGTACTGGTTGTGCTAATTGCCTCGGTTTTTCTCCATTTCTTAAAAGCGATTTCGCTAGATGTATTTTAAAGTGCCGGTTGGCTGGCATGCGAGTTCAGACAGTAGCCATCAATCGAGCTGGGCAAGGCTATGTATGTTAATGGGGTTTGACAATGGTTCCACAAGTCAATTAAACTGCCTTTCCCAATTTTATTTCCCCCCTGACTGACACCAGTTTATCCTTGCGTCATCTCTGCCTACTTGATCACAGAACCTGGCTTCTAAAGTGAGGCTCACAATAGACCGATCTCGCCAGCCAGTTCTGTTATGCCATCACTGCCACCATGCATCGTGCAAACTGTAGTCTTCCTACATGTGCGACGAACCCACTGCAGGTCTGTGCGAGCGCCACACAAGATGGTACAAGCAGTCTCATGCGCAAATGCCTGCTTCCTGTGGACCACAGTCATGGCGGCGTCATGCATGTGTGAAATGCTTAGCAAGATCGGTCTATTATGCAACAGTTCAGATCTTATTGTTGGGACTGCACACTCCCCTAATCCCTACCCCCCTCCCCTACAACCTCCCCCCCCCCCTCCTTCCAAAGCTTTCTGCTCGCTATGATTGGTGGTTTTCTCCTTTCCAGCGTTCGCTCTGCTAAAGAGGAAAATATGGAGAGCCTTGTCCTGCTGACATCACATCAGCAGCCATTTTTAAGAACCTTGTTGCTTAGTGAATACCTTCGGCCATTCTTCAGCATACACTTTGAGCCACGGAATTTATTTTATTTTTTTCTAGATTAGAACAGGTAGGAATGGCGAACAACAGGACACGACGACGTCACGTGCAAACTATGCTTGGCACAACAGCCAGAAGAAAAAACAACCGTTTGGCATACCTGTGCGCGGTGGGCCATGTCGAGCCTGCAGCTGCACGGTCGTACCATAGCATCTTGGAGGCCTTGCCGCCTAAAAGCTTCCGCAAGAAGCCCTCAAGCTCGTCCGTACCGTACGCCGCGTCGACGCCGAGTAGATCCACCGCTCCGTCGGGTCCCGCGCACGGACCGTCCCAGAGTTGCGAGTGCGCGTCCCTCTGCGGCACAAACAGGACAGACTTGGGCTCCGGCTGGTCCGCGTCCGTGTAGACAACCAAAACGCTGTCCGGTTCCTGAAACCCCGTGAGGTACAGGAAGTCCGAGTTCTGCCTGAACGGGTAGGGGATCTTGTCCGACATGTAGGACTTGGTCGCCGACGGCACGACCACCGCGTGGTTCTGGGTCGACTTGGCGGTAGGAGACACGGCGCACAGCCGAAGGACTGAGTCTACGAGTCGTCGCCTTCGGTCGGCGAACTCTCCCTGCCCGATGCCAGGGGTGACTTCGCCCTCCCGTAGAAGATGGGGATGCGTGCTCGCTGTGGGCTGTCCGTAGAGTCGTGCCCGACTAGATCCGTCGGTGTCGGGGTTCGTGGCGACGGTGTGGCATAGACGGTGCCTGCGACGTGGCGGTCTTCTGTCCAGCATTCTTTGGCCTGCGAACGGAATTCGGAATGCAGAGGTTACAAGACGTTCAAAAGATTCGCGCAAGCGACGGTACTCACAGGTCATCTGAATCCTCCCAGACTTCCACATGACTGTTGCTCGATGTTTGAGGTTACACAGTGTTCAGAAACAAGCAAAAAACAGACGGCTGGTGATAGTATTTTTTTGGGTCGACTACACAGCAAAAGCTGGACCACGGCAGGTGGAAACGATCATGGTAAACACAGGAGACACAGGATGCAGGTGCAGTGTGCAGGTGCAAGCGACAGAGGCAGCTGGTGAGCTTTTTAGCAGTGTCGGTGCTATTTGACACCGCTAACCGTTCGGGAACGATGATGATGATAGCACGTATTTATATGCAGTGGCTCCGCGCTGCCAGGGGGCGCCAGTTTACGCATAAAAATAAGAGAACGCATCGAAGCAAATGAGCAAAGCTACAAAAATGAATCTCGTGGAGGGTCCGGGGTCCGAGTCGTGGTTCAGTTCATTCTGTCTGCTCGGTCCGCGAAGGCTGCGACGCAGGCCTACGAGAAGTCGGGCATGGCAAGCTCGTGTTTCGCCGGTTAGCACGGACACCTCGGCTTCCGGACTCCGAACCACAGCTGACACGAATCCCTGGTGTAGACAACCGCAGGCTTGATTCAGGTGCCTTTTTTCCCTTGTTCCTCGTGATTTTCGGCACGGCTTTCAGGGAAGAAAAGTGGCTCGTCCCACCGTGGGCGTGGAGCACCGCTCTGCTTGTCACTGGGAGTGCTTACTTTTTGTCACGTGTCCAGTGGACTAAGCGCGCTACGAATTTGGCGCGTAACTTTGTGCACGTGCGCGAGGAACAAAATACTGTTTTTATTTTCGCTGCTACATGCAATGGTAAATATTTGCGTGAAATTGAAGAACGCATACATTGGGGATTTTGTACCCCATCGAAGCTGTCGAGCTGAGCCGGAACCGAACTTGCAAGATCTCGCTTGGGCGGGCTCTTTGATGTCTGACGAACAGCGCGTTGGAGAAAACCTCACAGCACTGCTGAAATACGTTAAAAAGCGCACCGGCGAGTTAGGTTTTTCGTCGCCGTGGGACGCCCTTGAGTTTCACACGCTGTACGCGGCTTCATTGCCTTGATTTCCAAGTTCAGTGATGGGCTAGCTGCACCCTTTAAGCTGAACAGCTTTAAAACACTTACCCTGCCACATAACCAAAATGTAAGACTTTTCCGCCAGCGTTGCGCCAAAAGTTGTTTGATAATACACGGGCGTTACACAATATTTTAGTTATTTCTAGTGTTCGGGCGGGATAGATAGTCCCGTAGAGTTGGCTTCTTACCGCGCGCCTATGCAGTGCGGAGAAGCGACATCCGCGGAGTGGGCATCGCGAGTTGTCGTCTGGCGAAACGAGTTGTATTAAAGAAAAAATAATGCCGTTTGTCAGAAGCTATCTGGAAGGAGTATTCAGGTGTCAGAACCCCCCTGATATATTACTTGTCCCCCCCCCCCCCCCCCCCTGCTTTCTCTTTCGTGCGCTTGCTGTTTCTTCCATACCCCGGCTCTCAGCCTCTTGGAGTCCAGTCAGTCTCGACGGGTTTCGAGTATAGACGCTTTGACTCAAACGCCAAAGATAACGCGATCCGGACTGGAGACGTGTGTCCGACTCGCTCGAATGTTATCCCCAAACAGAACCGGATTAGTGCCCGAATTCCGCGAGCTCGTAGGGATTGGGGGGGAGGGGGGGGGGGGGGGGGGGGGGGGGGGGGCTCGGTGCACGGCATTACCAAAGGACAAAAGCTTGAAAACCTGTCATCGGCATCCAGATTATCTCAACCCGAAATTGTGGGCTCCTTTTGCAATTTGCTCGTTTCCCATTCAGTCACAGCTTAACTTGACAAAGGGCATAAATTACAGCCCCGGTGAACCCACCTGAGAAAAAGAGCTAAGTGCGTGGAAAGTCTGCACAGTAGGAGCACATTTAGACATTATGCTGTCGCATGTGTCATTTCTAAACGGTTTGATTGGCTGGCTGAAGCTGTAACCGTCGCCCTCTTTTTCCAAGTTACGAAGAAGGAATTCCTCGTATCACGCCTTTTTCCAGTGAGCTTCAAGGACTGGGCCAGCCCAACACAACGCTACAGAACAGCAGTTTTTATACAGCTAATAAGTAAATAAGCACGAAGCTATGGTGCTCCTGCAGAACTTCAAGACAAAAAAAAAAAAAAAAAAAAAAGTGACACCTCAAGCGCATTTTGCAACAGTTGATTTTTTTTTTTTTTTAAAAGGGGGGGGGGGGGGTATGCTCTAGTGGGTCACCTCGTTTCTTCGATGGCGGATCGGTGGCCGAGTGGGCTAACGCGTCTCAGCTCGGAACGTGGAGCGAAATTAATGAAATCGTCCATGTCTTGGTTCATATATACAACTTATGTATTTCCACAGGAACCTTTCCAGACAAAATGAAAGTTGCCAAAGTTACAGCACTATAGAAAAAAGGTGATAGGTTAGACATAAAGAACTATCGCCCAATTTCTATCCTTCTAATTTTCTCGAAATGCTTAGAAAAAGTTATTTTAAATCAAATATCGTCATTTTGTGCGAAATATCAGCTAATAACTAAAGCTCAGTATGGATTCCAAAAAAATGAGTCTTTGGAGCTGGCTCTTCTTGAGCAAAAAGAATATATTTTACAAACCTTCGAGCAGAAGCTTCTGACTTTGGGCATTTTTGTTGATTTTACCCAGGCCTTTGATCATATCGATCACAATATTCTAGTTAAAAAGCTTGAGCGGTATGGCATAAGGGGTCTGCCACATGAGTTCATAAAATCCTATCTCGGCAGAAGGCGACAATTCGTTTTTCTGAATGGCTTAACATCTAAAAGCAAAGAAATAATCTCTGGTGTGCCTCAGGGTAGCATTCTTGGCCCGTTGCTTTTTAACTTATACGTCAATGATATCGTACATATATGTCAACAGGCGAAATTTATAATCTATGCGGACGATACTAGCATATTTCTATCGTCCAGCTCCTACGCGGAGATAACCAATATGGCAAATGATGTTCTACGTAAATTAAGCTCTTGGTCAAAACAGAACCGTCTAAAAGTTAATTCTAATAAAACTAAAGCCGTTTTCTTCTATACAAGAGGAACGCCTATCCCATTGCATCATAACATAGCGTTTAATCACACAAACATCGAAGTTTTGGACACTATAAAAGTGCTTGGCACGTACTTCTCCAGTAACATGCAATGGGACGAGCATGTTAACTTTGTACTACTCAAACTTAGTCAAATAGCTGGTATACTGAATCGAAATAGGTATATTCTTCCGGAATCAGTTAAATTATTAATCTACAATACGCTATTTGTATCTCATATTAACTATTGCCATCTTGTATGGGGCACAACAACAGAATCTAACCTCCATAAATTACACTTAATGCAAAAGAGAATGATACGCGTTATTGCCAATGTCTCATACACCGAACATACTGACTACCTTTTCAAGAAATATAACATTCCAAAAGTTCATGACATATACCGAAGGAGGCTTATGCGAGATTTGTATTATAGCATTAGGAAAAATACCTCTACACTCTTAGAAATAGGAAACTTAGAAAAAAGGCAACCTTCGCATAAAACACGAACTCCAGAACCATGGATAGTTCCTCGTTCTCGGACAAATTATGGTGACCAAATGCTTAAGAATACTTTGCCTAGACTACTAAATTCATTTGAGGAGGCTGGCACCGATATATCCTCTATAACCCCTTCTGCACTGAGATATCTTTTATGTTCATTTTCTGATACCGGTGCCCTCAGAACTGCCTGAGATGAAAACGAGCTATTTCCTAGAATTGTTTTGTGTTCCTTACCCGACGTAATCATGTTAAATTGCAACTGTATACTAATGTGTGGAGCTGTATCGAATGATTGACCAGGAAGTGTTTTGTTACTGTGTGTGAGTGTTTTGTGAGTCCAATGCTGCCATCATTTAAAGGGGGCCGAGGGCCCCACAAGCTGCGTTTGTAGCTTTTTTCCTCGGCCTCCTCCATTCTGTAGGAAATGGAAACCAATAAAGAAAGAAAGAAAGAAAGAAAGCTTGCGCCGCAGAACTTCCTGGGTTCGATCCGCCGCCCGTTTCGATCTGGATGAGTTTCGTACCGGCACGCGTTCGTGTAATCACTACTGTGTGGCGCACGTTAAAGACCCCAGGTTAACGGTTGTACTGCACTGGCTAAATTTCTCATCTGCAGCTAAGGGACCGGTCACCCGTGGAGGCGTACCAACATCGAGGCTGTCTCAACATACAAGCAACACAATTGTTTCGTTTCTCCGAGAGTGGAACGCATAGGGTCGACCGTGAATAACCGGGATAACTTCTCCGCGCAGCTCAGCGTATAAACAGACTTTCGCGTCGTTTAATCATTGTGCTAGACAAATGATTGTAAGTTCCTGTTCCGCGTTCATCGGTGGTGCCCTGTGACTATTGTGAAACTGACATCCATTAAGTGAGTCAGGTTGACGCTGGACAACTTTTTTTTTTGAAGAAACATCAGCAACCACTACCGCTCCAAGCTCCCCATAATCGTATCCATCACAGCCGGCCCCTTCGGGAGAGACTTCCTCGTCCTTTTGGTTTCAGTCTGGCCACTTTGATCACTATCATCATCATCTGAAAAGTGGCATATGCGCTATACTAATGGCGGCCTCCTGTTTATTGACGAGGGAATAAGTTGAAGATGCTCCTAAGCAGATGATCCGAGGCCTACACATTCTAGGCGTTAGCGCGACGTGAAGCAGGAATTGACACAAGGGCTGCGTAAGCGTTCATTTCTAACTCGGTCCCAGTCGATATGGTAGTAGCACACACTCGGCTTCAAAGCCCCTTCATGTATAAAACTCTATCAAGGCATGTATGTGGATTGGCGCTTCGTTCTGACTGGTGGCATCTTTTTTCGCCATCGGCACTAAAAGAGATTGAAAAAGAATTGTACAGTGAAGGGCACATTCTCGTTTACTGTTGACTTGCGAAAGTGACGGTGCCCAATAAAATACTGCAGACCACAGGTTCATTGCCGCCATTAGTACAGTAAAAGTTAAACTGCCATTTGAGTCAACAGATGGCATTGAATTCCGGAAAGGGTCTATTGTAATTCTTCAAATTATTATTGTTGTAAGGAATGTTAGAAGCTCGCTTTTTGTAGAACGTTTATTTGCTGTGCGGACGCGTCTGCGGTGGGAAGATCAACGAAAGTTACTCACTTGCACTGTCGCATTTGCTTTATATATCGGAACCTTTTGTTTTTCATGTTATATTCAAATCTTTGGCCATCGTAACTTTTTCTTTTTTATTGGTCATACGTACTAAAATGTTTAATTTGCAATTAAATTCATGGTGTATCCTGTGCACTTTCCTGTGTAGGGATTTTAGTTTAAAGTAAAAGCTCGTGTTAGTCTTGATAAATCGTGCATATATAAGTTTATATATATTGTGATTGCATCACCACTTTAAAACACGCCCCGAAAATATTTTCTGGCTACGCCACTGCCTGGAGCTATTGAACCCACATAAACAGGTAGCTTAGTATGTGAGTAAATCTGACTGTCTACTGTGCAATGGCTGCGAAATAGTGGTTGCTTAGGAATTGGGGGGGGGGGGG